GGGGGGTACATATATAGCCGTTAACTAATAGCAGTTCATTATCTGTCTTCTTGCTTCCCAGTATCTCTGGCTTTCTGTCGTTGTCTTTAAGGCTGGACACCGAATAAGATGTTTCTTCTCCATTTCCTCCTGTAGGCTACATAGGGGGCATGTTGGTTGTGTGTATACTCCTAATCTGTGAAGGTGTTTTGCCAGGCAATAGTGTCCGATACGTAGTCTAAACTCACCAACGGCTTCGGTTCTTGCCCAATTGGCTATGTCAGAGAGTGTCACTGTCCACTGTTTCTCCTTTGTTCGAGCTTTAAGTTAGTTGCACCTTGAGGTCTTGAATTCTCTCCTGATTAAGATCCTCATTGAGTGGAAAGACATCGATCGGTCTATACCTTGCAATATTGCAGTCCACTTCTTAGCAAGTACGCCAGCAAGCTCATTGCCTTTAATGCCACAGTGACCAGGAAACCATAGTAGGACCACCGTTTTGTTTTTTCTCTCAGCAGCTGATAGAGATGCGCGATAGACTTACCTCTACGGACAACGTATATTCATGCGGCAAAAAAGTCTAGTTCTCGGCATTTTAAATTAAAATAATAAGAACAGGATTTAAAGGCTTAACCTTTTGAATTGCCAATTGTAAAAAGACGATAAGTTCTGAATTCTTACAGGTTATTGCAAGGGCGAGCTTTCATATTAATTGATATTGTTAAAAATTCGTCAGTTAACTTGACCAACTTCCATCCTTCACTGCTACCTAATATTATTCGGTGCAGCAGATTTAACACAATATTTACCAATTTTTTTAGATTAATCCTATTTACTTTCGGAGTGGGACGCTAAATTGCATTGGTGTGGAAATCAGGATACTCTTAAATCTCCCCTGGAAGATAAAAATAAGTGAATTTCTACGCAAGTTGCTTGGCTCACGCTCGGCCCTAGCACCCTGATTCGACAGAACCAGCGTTGGGCCAGAACAGGTGACAAGGCGTATGGCAGTTGCATTTCTCCCTTGCCCAGGATATTACTAGCCTTAATTTTTCCTCCATCTCTGTCAAATTAATGAATCCCAAGGGATGAAGTTAAGCGCAAAATGAAACCTCATGACGCTTCTTATGCAAATCGAAACTCCTCGAAACAATCCACTGCCCCCTTTGCCCCATCACTACTTATTTCCCAATCCAAGGCAACCGGTAGCTCGAGCAGAAATTCGAATAACTCTAAGGGTTCGTTCAGAATCTCCTCCAATACGACGTGTGCAGCTAGATGAAAACGGCCCCCTGGCACCATGTGGCAGCAACAATGCGGCAACGGCTATAACGCTACGTAGGCACTCAGTCTCTACAGTCGCGAGTCAATACGCACCAATCAGTTCTGACCAATTGGAAGAGGTGCGGTTTTCTATTGGTCCGCCGCCTAGTGACTCAGTCCCGCATACTACGTGCGCACGCGACCTTGAGGCAGTGGCTACAAAACAGTTGCCTCCGTTGCATCCACGTTCGGCCTTGCTTCGCGCAGTTGCTGTGACTGGAAACCAAAATCAGACGCCATCAAGTAGGCCCACGTCAGGAAATTTTACTTCTACTTTCCTTATTAACACCTCCGGTCACACCTGTGTGACACGATCAAGGAGTTTCAAAACTCTTAGACGCTGCGAATCTATTGAATCGAACCCTCCACCCCATAAATCTCGCCCTCTTACAAGGCACTCGAGTTTTGAAACAGGTTTACGTAATTACTCTAATAATCGTGATAATTTGTCCCACATTCCTTCAAATAGAAGCTCAGAGGAACCATCACCTAGATCTCGAAGTTTTGCTTCTATAGAGAGCTTCGTCGTTGCAAATCCAAACGCCAAATTACCTCCAGCCCATCCTTCTACAGCCGCAATTCAGCGGAATGGTGTTGGTGTTGGCATGTTAGCTGGCAATAAACGACCTAATTCACCAACCAATCCACCACCTCAATCACGACCACCACACGAGTTTAATCCCTCTCCAGTTTTGGAACGTTCGGCTGTGAATAGCATAATGACTGGCGGTGGACCAGAATCGACCTCATCACCGAATCAGGTATCTCAATTTCTCCCGAAGGAAGCTGCACTTGCAGCTCGAAGGCCAGTATCCAAACCCATCCGTAACTATGCTCGTATCCAGTTGCCATATACGAAGGCTAGTTCAAGGACTAACAACCATGTTATGACGGATAGTTTAAAGCTATATGAGGAACAGATCTTCTCTCACCAGATATCTAGCGGTCAGAGACCGTTTTCTTGGTGTATTGAGGTGGGGAGTTTGGATAAAAGCATAGGCAGGACACCGGATGACAATAACTCATCTGGATCTCCATCTGCAACTAATTCGTCTTCAACTATGTCGTCTGCTTGTTCGTCTTCTTCCTCTTCAAATGCTTCTCATGCTGTTGGACCACCGAAAATTGGGCATTTTAACCGTCTAGCCTGTCTTCGACCTGGTAGGCTTCTTACTTGTCTACTCTTTATCTATCGATCTCCTTAAGTTTGTGTTGGCAGTCGTCATCGCGTACATATATCTCACTTATTATTGACAGGTGCAAACAAAATATTCGCACATCATTTACGCTTGCAAATACCTGGTAAAGAAAACATAATCATTATATATATATGTATATATATGTGTGTGTTGATAACTTGCAGGCGTTTCGGTTTAATGTTTATCTAATATTTGTTTAAACAGTTTTATTTATCTTTGTCTAGACAGTGAACCACACATTCTACATGAATGAAGTCTAAAAAATGGTAAAATGCAGACGAATTTTTCAAATGATTAGGTTTAACTTAAGACGATGGTTTGTTGGTTGGTTCTATCAGAATCGCTTGTTGATTTATTTGATTCCGGCTGGCAACTTTTTCATATCATGACTTTGTTCCGATTTTGATAATTTCAAGAATCCCCAACGTCCTCTTTTTATCCCTCAATTACTCCCCGATGTAAAGCTATAAATTCGCAGACCCCAACATGAGGTCAGAAGTTTTGAAGCTCCAATAACATTCTTATAAAAATAGCTCTATTTTAGTGGATAAAATAAAAAAATATTTACCTGAGAACAAGTTTATTAGCGATTTTTAATTCCTAAGAATTTCGTGTTTGCTTAAATTTACTTGATAGCATTTGGAGTAGATTGTGCAAATTTTTTAACCGTGTGTTAGTCTTGAGCTCGGATAATTGTGGTTATTTTGAAGGCTACCAGGAATATAATTTGCTTAAATGAAATTGAGTAGATGGTAAACTTTTAGCTGTGCAGTTAGTCGATAATTGATTCAGTAGTAACCTTTCATATTCGGAATTGAGGGCAATTTAATGCAAAAGCAATGATACTTGTGGCATTGGCTTTCTAGTCATTTATCAACATGACAAATAGCTTATCTCCTTGCTAAATGTGTCTTTTTCTTGCTCAAATCTCGAACGATTTATTAATCCTACTTGTACAATACCAATTTGGATGACGCACACTCTCCTTTCATATAAGAATACTTGGCGTCTAAATTAGCCCGAAGTCTCACTTAGAGATGTGTGGTCCAAAGAGGTAGAGCGTGCCGATGATGTGGCGGAAAATTAGTCGTTCCCTGAAACGTGATTCATTCATTCCCTATATCCGGCTGGTCTTAATTGTCCAGAAGATAGGCTTATTTGCCCAGCAGTACTTCATCTGTGCTTCACCTTTAAAAAATCAAAGATATCTACTCATTTCAAGCATGAGATTTGATGAAAAAATGGAATGGTTTTACCTGTCAATGTGAATACCTTCATTTCTTGTACTTCCTAAGATTCTCGTCCTTCATTTGGGGCTTTATTTGAATACGTCATCAAAAGCGAGTTAAAGGTACAAATCACAAACAGCCTGTCCTCCCATATTCCCTCAAATCCGGGTAATAAACTGTCATAGATTCGGGGATAATGGGAACTTCAATCATCAATAATATTAAACTGGCTTTAATGAGTTTAAAGACAACCCCCCTAGCAAGGTTAGCAAAGAGGTTTACTGTGCTCATTTTGTTTGCAGGAGTAGTATAATGGAGTCCCTTAGAGAAAGGCTCAATTTCTGTCAATTTGAAATATATATATATTTTATTAGAAGGGTTCAACCCGTTCGATTTCGGAGTTGAGCACTTTTGACCCTCCCCACCCCAACCCCTAATCCTAAAATTATCGGATTTTAAATTCAAATGTAGATTTACTTCTTCGGCGATGTTATTCTGCATTATTTCTCTAATTATAGGAAAACTGCCACATTCAATTTATTTCCATTAGAATGCACTCTAGATGTGACCCAAAATTCGTGACTTTGTTTGAAAGTCCTTTGTTAAGATTATTGATTTTGATAACCCCTTTAACTAAGCATTACTAAATGAAGTCAGCTGATGGTCTTAGAGCCTTATTCAATTTTGATTTCGAATTATTGGCATCTCAAATTAACCCAACTACTTTTCCTATTTTCACTGCACAAATGACTGCCAAATGTGCACATAATTTTCACTTCTCCTGATTGTTGTGATTGAAATTCATACCTCATTTACTAATTTTGTGAAAAATCTACATTCTGGTGAGAACGATTTTCTAAGTTGTGGGCCCAAAGAGTATTCAAGATGCACAAAAGAATACTGTGTAAGGTTTCCCCAAATGCTGAACAGCAATTTAAATTATTGTTCGCAATTCGCTTTTGGATATTAGAAAGAGGGAAAGTACTGGTAGTCTTTGCCTACCTATAAGCACAGAGAATAGGTAGAAATACCTTTATTAGCATGATATTTAGTCCCAAATGATAAAGGGAATTATTCAATTGGTTTTAAACGATCCGATAGGTCAGTCTGGTTTGATCATAACTTGTGGGAACTGACCGCGGTCTCCTTATTCGCTTGTCCCAGTGATTTCCTTGTCTCTAGTCCCCCGTCCACACCCGAGGTTATGTGAGGTGGCAGATGAGATTAAAGTGATATGAGCTGAAGAGTCCATTCAATTCGATCTCAATTCACAGAGAAAGAGTTCATAGGGGATTGGATTATCTGATCAATTTACCGTATGATACATTCATCCCTAATGATAGCCCGCATCGGATTTCTCCGGATTTTTTGCATTCCTAGACTTTGAAGAGTCAATTGCCTTCACTTGAAGGTTCTACGGGCTCGTTGATACCTTCATTTAACTTACAATGGTCATTAAGAATGATGTTCAATTTCGTAAGTTATGAACCGATAGAAGGTGATTGAAAATCTATTCTCCATAGAATATTAGACATTGGTAGTCAATACAACAGAGGGATATAAATCTGTTATATAATCTGATTATATCAACGCATGGGAAATACTCTTTCCTTCAAAACACCATTTATGGTGGCATTTTCGTGAAGAAGACATGGAGCAGCTTTTTCAAATCAAGGAGATGGACATTTTTAATCGTGGCAGCTATATCCAATGCAACTATTGTGATCTCTCTCGACAACTAGTAAACTTTTAATCCATTTCGCTCAGTTGTGAGTCTAGCCACTGTGAGCTGTGGAAATCCACCACCAGTTTTATTGCCGTTCACTAACTGCCCACCACAAAGTGCTTAATGTCTGGACGGATTGGGAAAAATATAATGCTTACGTCAGCAATTCCTAAAAGAATTTTTTTAACATTTCTATAGGAGCTGTTCAAGACCAACCTGGTAATCCAATCAATTCTAAGAGCCGTAATTTATCTGTAAGTTGAATTAATTACTTATATTATCTAAAGATAGTTTACTTAGTAAAGAAGTGTATAGCAACAACTTATTTCAAAAATAATATAATTTGACTGGCTTTGGTAAATATATATATTATATAATATTAATATTATTTCAAATGGCAGGCATTTTTATAGTTACCATTAGTCCTTTAGTTGACTTCTTGCTTCACACAGAGGAAGGGGAACATCAAAATAGCAAAAAGTCGAAAGGAGGGACCGAATATCGATTCAAAGATGTAAAAGAGACAGAAGGACACAAAGGCAGAGAAAAGGTACGATGAGTACTGTGAACATGGCTAAGGTAGAAAAAAGGCGAGGTGAGTACTGTGGAAGTGGTGAAATATGACATACAGTGGGGTGATGGTAGTTTGAAGTCAGAGGTATATGACATACAGTGGGGTGATGGTAGTTTGAAGTGAGAAATTATGACATACAGTGGGGTCATGGTAGTTTGAAGTCTAGGACATATAGGGGGGTCATGGTAGTTTGAAGTGAGAAGACAACTGCCGGTTAATAGACTTTTTTGCCGTATGAGAAAAAACGAATGCCGAGTGATAGAATTTTTGCCGTAAGAAAGTACGTTGCCCAGGGTGCACCACGTGGAGGTAAGTCTATCGTAGTTAACTGCCAGTTAATAGACTTTTTGCCGTATGAATATAACGAAAGCCGAGTGATAGACTTTTTTGCCGTAAGAAAATACGCTGCCCAGGGTGCACCACGTGGAGGTAAGTCTATCGCACACAAACTTCCGGTTAATAGACTTTTTACCGTATGAGTATACGTTTCCCAGGGTGCACCACGTGGAGGTAAGTCTATCGCACACCCACCAGGGTGCACCACGTGGAGGTAAGTCTATCGCACACCCCGATTTCGCTATATGGCGACTTACAAAATGTCAACATGTATCGCTCTCTCCCACCTTAGTTAATGGTCGATATGGCATTAGTATCGATAGGCCTTAGTTTTTTACCATAATCTAAGGAATGTATTAGGTTGGCAACTAAGTCATTGCCAATTTCAAATAAGAAGGCAAATTCGGAATTTTTGTTTAAAAATATAACTTTATTCAATTAGATATTGGCCGTTCTTGTCGATGACCTTTTTCCATCGTTCTGGCAGATTAAATTTCCCCGTTCGTAAAATGTCTGGTCTTTGCTATTAAAAAACTGAATTAGGT